AATTTAGCTAATTTATATCATAGTAACTACAAACCTCTCTCACAGAACTTAAGATCATCTTTCCAAGACTGGCAAAAATTGAACTTGTCACTCCTTGAAAAAATAGATCTGTTTAAGACAATTCTTTTACCTAAGTTTCTTTTTTGTTTCAAAATTTACCCATTGATATACTGTCTAAAGACTTTAGAGAATGGGAGACTAGTTTGGTGAAATTTCTTTGGAACAACAAAAAACCTAGAATCAATTTTTACTTTTAAATAAACCAGTTGGGGAGGGTGGCTTAGGGCTGCCTTCCTTAGATAAATATTTCATTGCAGCCCAATTTAAAGCTATTATATTTTATGCCGATCCAAACTGAAAAATCTTGGGTTCATCTTGAAAAATCTAAATTACTTCCTGAAAAATTGCATGAGGTAATTTGGAATAACCCTAGTAAAAGATCTAACGCAGGTAAAGCCAACAAATTTCTTACGTTTACCTTGCAAAAACAGGATACATTTAGACACTGGCTCCAGGAATTTTGCCAGTAATGGCATTTTTAGGACAACATTGGTTCCAGCCAGGCAAACACCCAACTGAATATCTCAACTTAAGTGAAAGAAATATTTTTAGATTAAAAGATCTTACTATTCAGGGCAAACTTGGATTGCAGGTTCAGTTAGAAAGAAAATACAAAATTAAGTTTCCATGGTTACAACATATGCAGATAAGCCATATGTTCAATGGACTAATAAAGTCTGCAGATCTAGACAGACCTCTAACCAGTTTTGAGAAGCTGCTTCATAATAATAAACAGGGTGCGAAAGGTTCTATCTCTATTATTTACAAAACATTAAACAAAAAGGTTTGGTCACAAAAATCATCAGCCCAGATAACATGGGAGAAGGACTGTAAATTGTTAATTAACAACAAACAATGGTCTAGACTTTGGAATTCTTATTCATTTAAGACTAACAATTTGTCTGATGTACTTTTCTCCTGAGAATAATTGCCCGTTACTTTGGCAGGTTTCTACCTGGCCTCTGATTGGACCTGAGCCATCAGGGGACCCTCTTGAATAATGTACATCTGCTTGCTTTGCATGCTTTAGGCCAGTTCTAACACTGAAAGTGTTAAAGATAACTGCATACTCTCAATGTCTCAATAAACTTTACTTCTTTGAATGAAAGCTGTTGGGACCTGATTGCTGCAGGGGTCTGACACCAACTGATGATGCCTGGTTTTTGGCCACTGTGTGACACAGAGTGTTGGACTAGAGGGGCTATTCACCTGATCCAACATAGCTTCTCTTATGTTCTTATGTTCAAAAACTGAGATGAAGACTGGGAAAGCAAGTAAGAATTATATGAAAAGAAGTGGTTTTGTAAATGGGCTCATGTTCCCCAAATCCAAGCGCTTCTGTCTCCAAGTGGATCACAATCCAAACCCAAAAAAAAGGAAATACTAGCAGCCAAATAAATTAAAAATTAAATTTTGTCAGCAAAATTTAAAGTGGCAAGGCAGCTTAGCTCAGTCCGTCCCCTCTTACTTCATGTAAAAAACCCCCAGACAGAAAATAAAATAAAAAGGCTTCTCTCCCTGACAGTAAGTACCTAATTCATCTTTTTCCCTTCAGCTCTTACAATACAATACAATACATTACCTCCTCCACCACCTTGCAGTATCCTTCACAAAAAATTTTAAAATCTCAACACCCAGAACAGAATTTTTTAAATCTCAACACCAATCACAGAAGCCATCAAAAGGGATCCCCTCCCCCGCACAAATAGCCCTCTTTTAAATGGCTATTAGCTAAAAAAAGTGCTGCAGGGTAAGATGGGCTGTGAAAGTGGAACCAAGTCCCAGTCAGGTATGATAACTGCATTTCTGGAACTCTTCCCTGGATTAAAATTTGTCACAGGTCCTGTTTTAACAAGAGCCTTCAAAAGTCAGGTAGATTATTTTTAAATTCAGGAACGATTGTCAGATTATACCAATCCCTGGAATCTACTGATTATGAACAGTGGAGACTTCCAGGCATATCTGTCCTTAAAAGAACATTACAATGACAGGTTTATAAGGTTTGTTGTGACTGGTAGCAGTGTTGGAGATGAGCCATGAAGTATTCTGACATTAAGTACCTAATTCATCTTTTTCCCTTCAGCTCTTACAATACAATACAATACATTACCTCCTCCACCACCTTGCAGTATCCTTCACAAAAAATTTTTAAATCTCAACACCCAGAACAGAATTTTTTAAATCTCAACACCAATCACAGAAGCCATCAAAAGGGATCCCCTCCCCCGCACAAATAGCCCTCTTAAATGGCTATTAGCTAAAAAAGTGCTGCAGGGTAAGATGGGCTGAGAAAGTGAAACCAAGTCCCAGTCAGGTATGATAACTGCATTTCTGGAACTCTTCCCTGGATTAAAATTTGTCACAGGTCCTGTTTTAACAAGAGCCTTCAAAAGTCAGGTAGATTATTTTTAAATTCAGGAACGATTGTCAGATTATACCAATCCCTGGAATCTACTGATTATGAACAGTGGAGACTTCCAGGCATATCTGTACTTAAAAGAACATTACAATGACAGGTTTATAAGGTTTGTTGTGACTGGTAGCAGTGTTGGAGATGAGCCATGAAGTATTCTGACATGAACTTCTAATAAGGACTAAACTCGATTTGGTAGGGGAATGGAATGAAAGATAGAAGTTTAATCCTAGAGCATCCCTTCCTAATCTTGTGTGTGTATATACAGTACCATCAAGTCATATGGTGACCCTGTAGGGATTTCAAGGCAAGAGACATTCAGAGGTAGTTTGCCATTGACTTTCTCTGCATAGCAACTCTGGAATGCCTTGGTGGTCTCCCATCCAAATACTTGTTGCTGTTGTTGTTCAGCCACACAGTCAAGTCTGACTCTTTGTGACCCCATGGACCACATCACGCCAGGCCCTCCTAAGCAGAGTCAACCCTGCTTAGCTTCCGAGATCCAATGAGATCAAGCTTGCCTGTGCCATCCAGGTCAGGACTTCCTATTTTTCAGAAGTACTATAGATGATACTGATGTGATGCTTACCAAGTGTCAGATTATGTCAGCACTCTGAAGCATCCAACAGCTAACTAAAACAATACTTCTCGTTTCTTTATTGTCATTTCGGACTGTAGCTAAGGGTCTAGGTTTAACACCTGCTGTGGATGCACCTCTAACTTCCGTTTTGTATTTCTGATTCTCCAGCTATTTTCTCAGAAACATTTTTCCAGCTTTCAGGGCCAGATAAAGGCTCACTCCTGGGAAGACTTGGACTAATTCTAATGACTATTTAAACCACAATATGAACAAATGTTTACATTATTAAAGCATCCAGAATTGTAATTCTGGCTGCCAGTCTACACAAGCTTATTTTTGAAGTAAGTACCACTGAGCAGAATGAGTTTTGTTATTTAGAGTACACAGAATGAGGCTGTACAATCAGTTTTGACTATTTAAACAAGCTCATTCTTCCAAGTTATAACTTATGTGAGTGGTCTACTTGTATGAACATGCTAAGGAGGAAACTTTCATCAATCACAGCATTTTTAAATGAAAGAAAATATAGTATTTGTAATGGCAAGAAGGGCCATTATGTCATAAAGCCCCTCTTTTCTACTGTTACACAGCTCACAAGACAAAGGCCATGTAATATCTTTTATTTGCCTCACATGAGTACAACAACCAACAGAAGTAGTTAATTCTAAGAAAAGATCAGCTGAAATACAACAGCAGTACAATCAGGCCTATACTGACCACTATAAATAAATAATCATTCACTTTTTTAATGCCATGATTCAAAGAATTTTAACATCCAGCTTTTTCACAGCTTCTCTAACATTAGGAGACCCCACTCCTAAACCCTATCCCAGCTCAAATATCTGCATAAACACTTTTTTGTTACATTACTAGTTACATGCAGTAGATAATGAAATATATAATGCAGCCACTACTCACACTCAATTACACGATTTTCCTTGTCTATTAGCAGTGACAGATGTTTATTTATTCTGATAATCTGAACTACTGAAGTATAAATATATTCAGGGGTAACTGAATACTGCTCCATTCATCTTTGGAAAACAGTCATTGTGGCTTTGAACTCTTCTAAATCGAACCGCCTCAGAATTAATTTTAAACAAAAGTACTGCATAATACCGTTATCGCAGAACGATTGATGTTATAGTAATGGATATTTGTTACTTAAGCATTTTATTTAAGCAACAGATATTACTCGTGAGTTGGATTTGTTTTGATAGTTTCTTCCTCTAATCGCAACCCACTTAAGGTTTACACGTCATCATCTGTAGAATTGCTATGATACCAGTTTCACACCTAATTAGCATGCAGCGACAAGATGTTGCAAAATGTGGGTAAGGAAACTACTACCTGTGCACAGAGCTGAACAACCCGATACACACAGCTATATACACACGCACGCATCTTGAGCCCCACGTAAGAGCAACACGCACTATATTCTCTGCCAATAGGCAAAGAAAAAGGACACCCTGGCCGGCTTCCTTCTAAACTACTGGCAGCTACAGGCAGCCAAATCCACCTGCAGTCAACCGTCTTCCAGCACAGCCGCTTCGGCCTGTGCGCCGAAAATAGGGCTGTGGAAGGCGCTCCTCCGATGCCACCCAGACGCTGAAGCCCTGCCTTTCGCATCCTCCAAGGAGCTGCCAAGGTGCTCCACCCGGCCCCCGGCGTTGTTTTCAAAAAGAAGCCGTTCGGCACGCGACCCCGGGGGATGCCTGGCGGGTGGGTGGCGAGACAGCGGTCATTTCACCAGCACACGCTTGCCGCACCGCCGCCGCCTTCTCTTCCCTCCTCCCCACCAGAATTCCCTCTCCTCTTTCCGCCAGGCAGTCTTTCCTTTTCGCGTCCTTTCCCCTTCCCTCTACCCCTGCCGGCGACACCTCATATTCTAACGTCCTTCCCAGCGAGGGTTCAGTGGAAGAGAGAGCATCGTCGCAAAATCCCTACCAGGGACGGCAGCAGCGATATCTCCTCAGGCCCTCTGCACTGTCGCGCGGGGGGGGGGGGGGGGGGGGAAAGCACAACTCCCACG